AGGAGTGAAGTAAGTGCACTTCTTTACAAGAGAGCACAACTGCAGAGGGCGAGTGTGACACTAAAACTGACATTTTATGATTTTGATGTCCACCTGTTTTCATTACACTACAATGATGTCATCCTGTTGTGGTGTTATTGTGTTGAGAAAATAAAAAGTGTGTTGTACAGCTGCGTCCGTGCCCTTTCAAGATGATATATTCTACTCTATATGGTTTCTTGAAATTGTCACACAATGAAGATCAAGGTCAGCTGCTTAGCCAACACAGGAGGTCATGATACTGTTGTGAAGTTTAAAGAGTTTCAATTAAAAATACAAAAATCCCAGCCCTGCACAGACTGCCGACCTGTCCGGGGTGCACCCTGCCTCTCGCCCAAACACACAAAATCTGAAACATGAGGTCATGAAAACTGTGGACGCTAGACTGCTAACAAACAATCAAATGGAACAAATGACACAGGGGGCAGGAGGATTTTATTACAATCACCATGTGATCTAAATGATGACACATGTCCAACAGTATGCATTTTACCTTGATTTCTGCCTTTTAAATGAAGAGTTCCTGTTAATCTCAAACGCTTCACAACAGAATCAAGTTTATATAAAATCAATTATATTAACTGTTTTGTAGCCAGGAAAAAAATTAACTCTTGAGATTAAAAATTTCCCCTTTTAAGAGTCTCCTGAACAAGCATTAAACCACATACACATACAAATCCACACACCAGTTAAGTACAGTCAGAGAGTAAAAAAATAAAACACAGAAACAACCAAGATCATGCTAAACATGCTGCCTAATGCCACAAACAAAGGAACAATATCAGGTAAAACAGCAGCCTGCATTCGTTCTTTAGAATCGCTTTAAAGTCATGGGTGGAACAGTCGTCCTCAACACATTAGAGATGCTCTACATTCAATTTGTTTAAGGCAAAGGTTAAAAACTGGTTATGGACAAATCAAGTGTGTGATCATGTATGAGTTGTATAGTTTTAATGTTTTATTTGGGAACAGAATGGTGTGTATGTGCAAGTTTGGTGATGGAGTTTTTATTATGAATGAATGATGAATTTTTATGAATTATTATGTCTATTTTTTATGCTTAAGGACAACAAATGGAAATTAGCCCTTGGCTATAATCTGGTATGTTTACATTTTTTTTTTACATTTATGTTCATTAACATGCACTGTCCTAAATAAATAAATAAATAAATATTAAGTGAGACCAGCTTCTTACGTTGATTCTGCAGCTGATTCCAGGAGGAAGAAGCTGCACATATGAAAGCTCAAATTTAGTGTGAAGCTTTGAGATAGACGGAATAAATCTTGGGAAATAAGATGTGGGCAAACCAAGAAAAGCCTTATTAATAAGAATATATCAGTCATACATATCATATATAACAAAGCAGACCAGCAAAGGAGTGGTGAGTAAGAGCTTGTAAGGAATTTCAATGCTCCATGATAGAATCCAGCATATTTAAGGATGCGTGCATATAAACCGCATTGCTGTGATCAA